AATCAAGAAAGGACTTGTATCGCTGAAGATTCTCAGAAAGAATTTCTACCAAAAACAAACAAACAAGCAGATACGTAACAATATTTCACTAATTAATAATAAATGTGAATTTTTATAACCATCTGCACAATTTCCATGAAGAAGTCCATTACTATATCTGTGGTGATGGAAATTCTACCATGGAAGTTCTGATAATGCTGTTAATGGAGTCTAAATTATCCCCCACCCTATTGAACATAATGCAAAATCTTTATATTTTCATGGATCTGTACCGGATAATCATAGTATATATTATGACTGCAGTATCGAAAAATTTAATGCAATGTTTTGTTTACCCTCAAATATATAAATATATAAATATAAAAAAAAATAAATGATGAGAAGCAAAATAAAGGTTTTTTAAATGTTCCACTGGGAGGCCTGTATGTCGCAGCTGTACATGACACAGAAAAATAAAAATACTAAAATGAACCATCTAATTTAGTCATTATAAGAGATTCAAACATAATTGTATCACTTGTACTTAACCATCTGTTTGATGAGAAACAATTCTTGTAAGACTTCTGTTGAACAAATTACAAGAAACAAAAGAAACTGCCTCGTCTATAACATCAACAACAAAAATACTTAACTTAAATTTACCATCTTGAACCAGGAAACAAACTAGTGTTTGATTTTCCTTTTATATACCATTCTAAAATATGGCATCTGTTTCATGACAACCCACAAAACAAATCACCCATTTTCTCAATAATAAAATTTATTTATTTTTTTAAAGATGATGAGAGCCATCTTTACCAAGCTGATGAAACAATAAAGTAGCTATGTTTAAAACATGTCACTGGTTTCCACTATGTGTCATCTAGGAATGCCTCCAATATGAAGCGGCTGCCACCGACACATGAAAGTAAGTGAATTGTGTTGTAAAGTTATTATTCTATTGGTGGCAGCTTTGCTGTCTGTAACTTAGATTTTATGTTTGGAGCTGTTGCAATCCAGCTCAAGAGCTCTAGGTTTTTCAGTCTCTTCTTCAGAACTGTCAGCTTCATCTTCTTGGCAACAACTACCTTCGTCTGAGCTGTCACTGTCTTCAGTTTGTTCTTTCTGAGGTGCTGGAATTTCTTGGACTTGCTGGATAAAAGAAGACAAGTATGACAAAACATTTGTTTTATATATCTGAACTTTTAAGATTACATTTCAACAAAAAATAGTAGTTTTCTTCCAGAACAGTTTTTGCAATATTTTCATACGAGTAAATGATGAGTTTACATTTTGTTCTAAAGTGAATGGTTTTCGCATGAAATTAAAAATGCTACATATGAATGCCACAATGTCAAAATAATAGAAGACTTTGACCTCATTTCATCTTAATTGGATACAACAAATTCAAAGAACACACATGATAATATATAACTTAATACAACTATAACTGCTTCCATTCTGTGAGGTACTTTCATAATTATGAGCTGACAGGCATTTTCAGTTACCCTTAATTGTTGTTTTTGAAAGCTTAAAGACAGATGGAATGCTGAGTTCTAATTATTTTTTTAAACTAACCTTACAGATAATCCTAAAGATGCTAAATTCTATTATTAACTGGATTTTATCTTGCCCATTCCATAAAACTGATATTTTACTTTGGAACCACACATGAATATAATGAGCTTTCTATCAGAGATCATTATTCTGCTAGTACAACACACTTAGTTTGGTTGAAAAATTCAGCTATAACTTCTAGAACACATCCATTTAAGGTCTTGATATTCATGGTACCTTACACCTCCCAATAATGCACATAAAAATATGCCCAACTACACACTATAACACCCATCCACAACCCCATCTTGATCCTCTACATTAGCGCAACCCAATAAAAATCAATTTGTTCATCTTCATGCCTCTAAACCCATTTTGACACTTGATAATGCAGCACTTATCATGCCATATATTTTTCAACCAATTGTCAATATTCTAGAGCTGACAGAATATGGTAAGTAAAAAAATGGTTGAATATTCTTGAGAATTGTATTCACTAGGCCCTTCATGGAGAGCACACTATAGACCTCAAAGATAGTACCTGTTCACATGGCCAAACTGAGTGCAATAAAGACACTTCATATTTGTTACAAAGATTATCTCCAACACTTTTTCACTAAAAACCCTAACACATTCATGTTTAACATACTACAACAACAGTTTTGGCTGACCTGAATGTATTTTTAAATGTTGGTCTAATGCTAAAGATACACCTAACTTAACTATTCGACAGTAACTTGACGTCTTGTATATACTTCAACCTATCTATTTTACGTGCTCGTTTCGTTGTGCTTTCGGAGTATCCTTGTATAATGTTTTAAGTAGGCAGTGTAGCATGTTTTTTTTATATAAGTGTATGTATGCATAATGTACATTTATAACTTCTTCCTCTATTCAACACATTGCTGTCTTTCATTTATCATTAAAATTTATATAATAATTGAGTATAGTGAGGCTCTGCTTCAAGACTATGTACAATCCAGTTCGTTTTATAAGTATCTTTTGTACAATTTTAACAATATATAAAGTTTTTTACTTTTATTTTAAGAACATACCAGGGTTTATACAGAACTTTAAAAAATAAATTCCCAGACTTTTTCTCCAACCATTCACATTATATAAACATACATATATATTTATATATATAAAGTAAATTATGCTCGGAAATCACCGCATTAACTACTTTAAATACAGTATTAGCTTTATATACTAAACATAGTAGCTAGCCAATACATTTCTGTTAATGATTACTGGTAGAAAAAAAAAAGACTTTTCCCTGACTTTTCTATATTTTCCCTGCATATAGATACATTGTACGTGTACACTATCTATTAACTGATATATATATAATTTGGCAAAAACTACATCTTTCCGAGTGATTAATAAAATATATATTGGAGCATTTGGGAATTTCCATTAATAATCTTGTGACAACATGGCTTGTTGATAAAGATAAACTTACTTCCATTGGGTTTACTGTAATGGTCAAAGAGCTGCCATCCCATGCCATTTCATGGTCATCTGGGCAGTTGCCTTGTGATCGACGATGGGCTGCTCGAATTCTAATTACTCCCAACACGATCATAAACACCAAAAACCCAACACAGATGATGATGATGACAGTGACAGTATGACCTGCAAATAAAGATTTTCATATCAGCTTGTTTGTGAATTATAAAAAAAAACCAACACAGATGACAATAACAGTCTGACCTCAACACCAGCCTTATACAGGTGAAGGGGGGCCGGAGAGAATATTGGCATGAAGATGTGTAGATCACCAAGGTGTTGGGCATGATGGTTGGGGTAACTAAAGCACATTTTGGGATGGCTATAATGCTATACTAATTTGTGTGTTATATATCTTTGTGAAAAAACAAACAAACTTGCCATACGTTTTGGGGTGGCTATAATGCTATACTAAGTTGTGTGTTGCATATCTTTGTGAAAAAACAAACAAACTTGCCATACGTTTTGGGATGGCTATAATGCTATACTAATTTGTGTGTTATATATCTTTGTGATAAAACAAACAAACTTGCCTGGTTGATAAATATGTTCTACAAGAAAATGGTTAAATCTGGTTCTGTAGTGGTTTTTAATATGCATTTCACACATTAACTGGAGTCTTTACAAATGAAAAAGTGAGATATGTTTAGAATATTCAAATATTGCACATTTTAAACACAAAATTCAATCTATTCTGTGGGAAATTCATCAATATTCGAGATACAGATTATGGGTTTATAAGTTTTACAACCTTTTGAAAACTTTGAAGTCTACACTTTAATTCCTTGGTATATTGTTTACAGTAAATAT